ATTATATTGCAAAAGCGATTCCTGACAATTTTTCCGTAATTCGAGCGAAAACGTCCGTCACTAAAGTCACGTTTTTTAGTAAGCTTCTACAAAAAAAAACATAATTCCTGAAAACAAGTTGAATCAGGAACTAATAGGACCTTTATAGAAAATAAAAACAAATTTGGTGCAAACTTTACTTTGTGTTATGGTTATAGTTATTAGGAAGAGCAAAATATTAATAATACCTATCTAACATTTATTAGGAAGAAAGAGGCAACGAGTTAGACCTTATAATGAAAGTAATATCGGGCTCCTCATGTTATAAACGCCTGACATGTGCATGGTAATCAATTAAATACACGAAACTGCCTTCTGTATCAACTCATAAAGTGAATTCACGAACAATGCTGTCATCACTTAGAGGCTCATTCACCAGTGCTGAAGTTTATTATTGCGGTTTATTACATGTTGACTTAATTGTGTAGGTATTTAGGATTATTTTATCTGCCACTTAGGTATCTTGAATGAAAATTCAATTCATTCTAAGTAAAATGTGGATACAAAAGGATCTCTTTGTGGTAGCTGTTTTATCAAATTTGATGTCAGAATAGCAATAATATCAGATATTTCTTTAAATGTTAATGACCAATGAGATAAGTGCACGAACGAAAATAGGTATCTCATATTGAGCTGGAAGTGCTAGTTTTTCTGCTTTTATGCATATACAGTGTGCCCCGTTTTTCAGGTTAACACCTCTGGAAATGTGAGAAGGCTGTGAACTTTCCGCAAGCCAATTTTTTTACAAATAGGACCCTGGTGGGGGGTTATATTCTACTAATCGTTTATAGATATGACAAAATCCTGGAAAGTCCATAGCCTTCTCACATTTCCAGAGGTGTTAACCTGAAAAAACGAGGCACAGTGTATATACAATTTTATGTTTAATTCAAAATTAATAAATAAGTGAATTAAAAAGAAATAAATGCAAGGTGTATTTATTTGAAGCAGCGGAAATGCTACAACATAATTTTGAGGTCAGATTGGGTCATATAGATCTTAGTATAAATTTGCTTTATTTACAAGTTACATGGTGTTTAAACCTTTCATGATCGTCACAAATACGTGGATATCTCCAAAGATGTTTGACATAGATTTATGAAATTTGGACTGAGGACTAAATAAAAGTGAAAATTCACTCAATTTTGGTACAATTATATCAACCAATAGAGGCATTGTCATTAAAAATCAAAGAATTTAGGCATCACTTGCAATATTGTGCATCTGCTACACTTTATTTTATGATTAACTTATTTATTACGTTTTGTTTTTAATTTTAAGTGAAGACATATTATATGAATATTTAATATCCTGTTCTTGTTGGGTATTTAAATGTATTTCTAAGAAAAAATATACTTTTAATTTTATTCGAAAAACGAACCATTACTGTTATTTTTAATTTAAAATAAGCCTACTACACACAATTAAAATGTAATTATGAAAAGTATAAAAAGTCATTAGTAGGAATATTTAATATTCTAAAGGAGAGTAAAACCGCAAAAATTGAAAATTGCTATGCTGTAAAACAATGGTGTGAGTGAAAGCAATAAAGGTTCGGAGAGAATATAAACCAAGTCTGAGTAGAGTAAAAAGTTACTCAATAACAGTTAAATTTAAATCATACAGTAGAGTAGAACTCATTTCTAATACAATAGTTTCACTCAGTTGTACTCATACTACCTAATAGAGTGAAAATTTCACTCAATCAGGTGTGAATTGATACATTATTGAGTAAAATTGAGTGAAATTTGAATGAATTTTTTTACAGTCTATGCCAACATTGACTTTCGATAGTTACGCTGCATATAAAACTTTTGTATTTATAACAAAAATTCATATATTCTGTTTATTGTGAAATTTTCCATTTAATCTACCATGTTGCTTGCATTTATATTTAAGATATGACATACACTTTGCAGGTTTATATCTTACCCACACTCCAAACATGTCAGTAGATAACCATCTGACTAAATGGAGTAATCCAATGTTGGCATTAAAAAGAGAATTGGGTTTAAATTATTCGGAAGCAGCCAATACAAGGTTTTAGTTTTAGATTTGAATCAAATTTGACAAAAATTAAAAAAAAATTAGCATCTCAAGATGACTTTTCGTTATATATTTGCGTCCAAATATTTCAAATATGTTTTGAAGTAACTATGAGAGTAGTTTTGGCATCGATAAAATCAATGAGTATTAATTTTATATCCATAATTAAGTTAATATCCTTAACATATTTAAAAATAATTTATTAAGTTGTTTCTTCTTGAGACGTTAAAATTAGCAATAATTTGCATATATTATACGAAAATAGCACATATAAATGAATATATGTTAACGATGCATTAATTTATGTGTTTATTTTTTAAAATAGATTAAGTATAGGAAAATTGTGACAGAACATATTTAATTTTGTCATATCAAATATAAAATATTCTTGTCTGATTTTTTGTAATGCATCTGCAAAAATTCTATAAATGATGAAGCAATTTTTTGAAAAAACAATCACGTTTTTATTTTTAATTTTTCGACTTTTTAAAGCAACTGTAATAAATGGTAGGCATCCCCTATCTCCCTCCCAAATCTCAATACTTCAGCTTGGACAATGTAAAAAATATGCAATTTTGAATTAGGCTGTCGAAAAGCAACTTTTTTGACAATTGAAATATCTCGAAGACCATTAGAGAAAAATACAGGGAAGCTTGATAAAGTCCCTCTAAAATTACGCGTAGAATCCAAATATACAAAAATATACAGGGTGCTCCATTTAAAATAAGCAAGTAGATGGCGACTTCCGTATAACCGGAAGAGCTATTTTATCAAAAGAGAGCACCCCTTAACGGTCCATCAAAATTGAAATAGAAACAGTCTGAAATATTCTAATGGGCCGTCACCGTAAAATAGCCTGTAATTTTTCTTGCATGGCATCCTTGATTATCAGGACTAGTAAATAAACCAAAATATTGTGCAATAAAAGCAACTATGTGACATGTATTTTAAACGGAAAAAAGAGAGGATAAAAAAAGTCTGAAATTTCCTAAAACTTGTCTTCCATTTTTTTTAAGATAGATAATAAAATTTTCAAAAATTCCTTGTTAAATTTATTATGTTTCTCCAAGGAACCATAAAGTTAATATATATTTTTTTATTATCAAGTTTTAGCAAATGAGAACGTTAATTTTCATATTCCGAATCATAAATTTTATTACAGCTGAATAATAAAATGTATTAATGTGTGTATATGTTCAATAATATAGAGTTAAGGCATATATTTTTATTTTTTAATTTAATGTTTTTAAATAGACAAAAAAATTAAAGCAAATTAAAAATTGTACTGGAGCCATCTCTTGAAAGTACATACAGGGTGTATCACCAAGAGGGCTCAGTAGGATTATCTCAAAAAGTAATCAGAATTGAAATCTGAAAATTTGTATATAGGGGTTTATCAAAAAGGTCTATTCAATGAAAATAGTGCCAACTTTCTCGCACTTCCGGTTATACCGGAAGTAATCATCAACTCTGTTATTTCAAATGGAACACTGTGTATATTTATGCATTTTTAAATTCTACGGCAAATTCTAGACTAATTTCATATAAGGTGCTATAGGCCAAAATGTGACAGTTTTAAAGTTGTTATCAACTTTCGAAAAAAGGGATGCAAGTTATTTTTGAAAACAAAATAACTTCGACATTTAGCTTTATTTATTAATGAAAATTGGCGTGGATAATTTAAAAGCAATGGAATTTAACTAATTTATGTCAAATTTGCAAAAATTCATAGTGTTTAAAAACGTGTGGCCAATATTGTAATGTTGAAGTTGAATTTACTCAAAAATTTTAAATGGTACAACCTGTATATTATTGCATAAATTAAATTTACTTTAAAATTATACTAAGTTTCTTATACCCAAAGTCAACAGTTATTGTGTAAATTGGAAATTATCGATTACAACACAGAAAAATCTACGGTATGGTGGGTTTATTTAAAGCATCGTCTCTTTTTAATTTAATATGCTGAATCATTTGAAATTTTCGAGTAATTTCAACTTTAAAGTCGCAATATTGGCTACACGTTTTTAAACACTCTGTATGAATTTTTGAAATTTTGACATAAACCTGTTGAATCTCATTGTTTTTATATTATCCATGCCAAATTTCATAAATAAATAAAGCTAAATGTCGGAGTAATTCTGTTTTCAAAAATCACTTGCATCTCTCAATTTTTTTCGAAATTTGGTAATAACTTGAAAACTGTCACATTTTGGCCTATAGTACCTTATATGGAATTAGTCTAGAACTTACCGTAGAATTTAAAAATGCATAAATCTACAGAGTATTCCATTTGATGAGTCGATGATGACTTCCGGTATAATCGGAAGTGCGAGGAAGACGGCACTATTTTCACTGAATAGATCTTTTTGATAAATCCTTGTATACAAATTTTCAAATTTCAATTCTGACTACTTTTTGAGATAATCCTACTGGGCCCTCTTCATGATACACCCTCTATATTTTTAGTGTTGCGATAAATTTTAAAATAAACAAGAAATGTGACATTTAATATGATTTCGATGAGTACAGTGATTCTCTAAAAATGAAATATGAACCAGTTTTTAAACAATTACCCAAGAACAGCTGAAGATAAAGTTTGATGATGAAAAAAACAAATTTTCAAATTTCAATTCTGACTACTTTTTGAGCTAATCCTAGTGGGCCCTCTTAGTGATACACCCTGTATATTTTTAGTGTCGCGATAAATTTTAAAATAAACAGAAAATGTGACACTTGAAGATAAACTTTGATGAAAAAATTATGAACTTCATTAAAAAAATAATGACTATCACAACTACTTGGTTCTTCCTACGTCTGTAGTTTCTAAATCGAAAATTAAACAATTAAATCATGCCAAACGAAAAACACAAGATATGTTGACATCATTAAATAAAAAAATAATATATACTCACAAGGAATGCCAAGGTCTTAATACGGGTTGTGAATATTACAAACAAGCGAGGGTTGAGTACATTCTAAACCAACTGTTATCGGTATCCGCGTGTTCAGTTCCTTGCGGACCAGAAAAGCGAACTCGTCGGGACGAACGTCGTGAGGAAACTGAAGGTGGAAGGCATGAGCTTTTGCCAGCACATGGCATGGCCCAGTTGACAGCACGGCTTCTGAGGGCAGGAGTAATTTAACAGCGCTGGTCGTTAATATAAGCGTCTTCAAACTAAGGAGTCTAACGGTATTGGCAATTAGACCAGAAAGGACCAAATCCTATTCCTGCAGGATGGAGTTTTCCATACGATATTTAATGCAAATGGAAATGCGTTCTTTAGCAATTTGTTATCATTTTAGTAGACAAAAATAGTAACCATTTTTAGACATACTCGTATACTATAGAGGATTTTGACTTTTACTAGTTGTATAATCGGTTTATTTATAGTTCTACGGCATGTTATATTTGACTAAAACATCAGAATTTTAAATTACGTAATCCTTACAGGGTGTTATTGATAAGTTTTGTCAAACTTTAATGACGTATTCCACCGATGAAAATAATCAACTTTTGCCCTATAAAAATTTTTGATAGGACGCTTCCCTACGAAGATACAAGGTGTTAAAAATATTTATATGATTTTTACTTTAACCTCGCTGACAAAAAATATTGAGTGATAAAATTTGGGGGATGACATTCTTTTAGTAGAGACTATTTTTTCATGGATAACTTATTCCAAAATATACTCCAGTGGCGAAGTTATTGGGGAAGTAGGGGACCTTTTTTGAAAAAAAATCGTACGCCACTGGTTTTTTAAATAATTTTAAATGTACAATTAATTTGTGGCAATAAAGTATTCGTAAAATTTGCTGGTCTTTAGATAATTGGAAAATCAAATAAGAAAATATACTTAAGTAGGTACCTACCCACGTTGCTATTTATCATTTTCTATTGATTGCTAAATGTGTAACAATAAATTCAATACCTAATATTTTTGAAAGATTTCAAAACACTATACAACGCTACTATTTTGTGTGTTGCAAAAAGTTTGTTATTTTTCATACAACTAAAAACAGATTTTAATAAAAAAAATATAGTATTCAATAAATTTCAACTGTAAAATTCCAGTACCGTAGGTGGCAAGTTGTTACTAGGAAACAGTCATAATTTTGAAACTGTCACACATTTTTATCGCATTTCTCTTCTAGTTATGGTCCGTTATACAACTATTGAATTAACAGATATACATTTTATATACGATTGAGCGAATGGCAATGCTAGACAAGCTGAACGACTTTATAGACATACATTTCCAAATCGACGTTGCCCATGTTTGTCGCTACCAAAACGTCAAGCAAGAGGAAGACCTGTTCGTACAGTTCATTTAGAAAACAGAATTTTGGAATCTGTAAATGTAGACCCATCCAGCAGTACCAGTCAGATATCAACAGATTTGGGTGTATCACATGTAACAATCTGGAACGTTTTATGTGAGCAGCAATTACGCCCAGAAAGTATTCAATGTTGAAGACCATATTATTAGTGCGCAAAAAAGTAATTATAGGAGAATATTATCGATTAGAGGCTTATTTGAAGCAAATGTCGAAATGATATATTCCAAAAAAATCTAAGATATTGACAAGAGAGGACATTTTGTAATTTATTAGAGAAGCATCAAGTCATACATATCTTTTGGAAAATATAATATTGGAAATAATTGTCTATATTATTGCATGTGCTTAATAGGTTTTTGCTATTGTAGGTTGTTCCAGTAATGGGTGTTTTTGGAGGATTAAGAAGAGATGAGTTGGTAAAGCTCTCGATGGAAGATATAGATGACAAAGGAATGATTGTTGTAGTAAACATTAACGATACAAAAACTGGAGTACCAAATTCTTTTACTATTGTGGAAGAAAATGAAATGCACGCTTTGCAATTGTATCGACAGTATATATCTTTGTGACCAAAAGAAATTAAAGAACGACGGTTTTTTCTGACATAGACATGGAAAATGGAAGTGTTATGTTTTAGTATTAATGTGAATAGCCAAAAACAACTTCAGAAACAAAACTCGTGATTAGTTTATTAAACCCCTTTTATTGTTCAAAAGCCTACTAGATACTGTACGGGTGGCTAGCAAGCGATAGTGTCGGTACAAAAAACTGGATACTTTTTCTCGCATTCCATTGCTTTTAAATACAAACAATAAATGTTTACATATATATAACAGAAGAGTGGATACTGTATCATCAGGATATGTAGAAGATAGTATAACGTCCAAGAACAAACTATCTTTAATAGCAGGAGTCGAAAGAACTAGTGATGACAATTTTTCTCAATTGATTGTGAGGGAAAATAAACAACATTTATTCGATGGCAAAGAAAATTTAGGTAGTTTTTCTGGTGTTACTGTTAAAGGTTGCTTTTCAAACTGTACTACCGTTTTTAAAGATGGTTGTAAATGATTTTTGTTATTAATATAAAACAAATTATTATTATATATCAAATATTAATGTTAATAAACTTTGTACTTTAATTTTTCGGCTCCATTTATACATGGCACATTTACTATTCTACCCCTGTAGAAAAGAAAGGTACAAAATAGGGTCAAAATGTGGGCGATAACATTTAGGTCCCCTTATTTCGCCCTAGAGTGAAAAATAATAAATAATAAGGAACTGTCACTTCTTCGTTCAAATGTCAAAAATATTTGACTAATAGCTGTTTTACATTGACAATTTATTGATGAATAAATTGACGAATTTCTTCATGAATTAATTCACGAATTTATTGGTGAACAGTGTGGTTTTACACTGCTACAGACTGTCAAGTTTTTTGACGTATGAATCAGTTCTACCAATGAATCAAAGAAGCAAATAAATTTCAAAAATGTCACCTTTCCACTCATAATTGTAGTGATACAACAGTGGTACCGTTCTGACACATATTATATAAATATTATCTTTTGTAAGTAACAAATCAGTAAAAACTGCAAAACTAGCACGACGTCACACAATTATTTACATATTCCAAAAACATAACCTCATTACTGATGTGAGGCTGGAAATCTGTTGTGTTGGTACTTCCGAACTTCACGAAGAAATTGACGAAAATTAGAACATGCTCTAATTCGTCAAGAACTTGATGAATAAATTGATGAAGCGACTTCAGAATTAATTGATCAATAAATTGTCAATCTAAAACAGCTATTATGAATAAAATTATCATCTTAATAATCTTCATCGTGTCAAATCTGGTAAGTTCTTAGGCTTATTCTAATCTATTCTAATATATTTCCTCTTAAAATCTATTAAAATTAAAACATGTCCCTAAATATTCATATTACAAATTATTTGACGTTTTATTGAGAGTTTTTTTAAGAATTTATTAAGAACCTTTAGTTGCAGCTCCTCCCTTTTACGTGCATTTAAATGATCAATGAATCATAGCCATTAATTACCTCACCTATATTTATTACACTAAAAATTCGTGTAGTATATTATTACTTATTTTCTTAACTATAATTAGTTCCCCATGAATTAGTTTCTGCTTAGCTATTACGGCGATAAAAATATAGTGTCCGGGGTAACTGCTATCTAATGCAGCTTTGCTGATTCAATTAAAGAACCGATAGAATAGATGCACGAGACTGTAATTTCAACCATTCTTCGAGTCCATAAACAACTACGTAAGAGCTAGTTTCCTGGTTTCGGTAAGGCACGACGTTTTGATCGTTTCCTTTGGAGGAGTATTCACGATATTGTCTATTATAACTTATTTGCGGTATGTAATATTCCTAACAGCAATATAAATATCTCTTAATGGTTCATATATTAAATACCCGTTCAAGATTTTTTCTAATTAAAGAAAGTTTGGATTCAAATTTCATAAGAACTCTTGCATTACACTCCAAGTCTTCAAATGTAGTTCATGATTTCTTTTGAGTAATATCTATATTTTTTCTCAAAGCATTTCTTATTGAAAGTAGAAGAAATATCGCTTATATCAGTTGTATACCTCTCACAAATAAATTGTCCAATGTACGGCTTTTCTATAAAGGAATCACATTTCTGGTGTACATAACCTTTGCATACATCACACTGTACCCAGTCAGTCACTGTTTCTTCCAAACATCCGGGATCATAATACATGGATTTAGTAAAATCATCGACGCATATACAGGGTGTTAATGAACTTATGTAAAACATTTAAAGGGGTGAAAAACGACTTAACTAATGTCACAAACTTGTATCGGAAGTTTATAGGTCATAAGGAAAAAAGCTAATTAAAAATGTGTTTAAAACTGTTTTGGAACTGCTGAAATACATGTATTTTATCGCGGCGAGTATTTACAAAAAATTCTACCTTTTTGTGGGGATATGTGAAAAGTGTTGTGTATTCCACGGAAGTTCGTAACATCGACCAGTTGCGACATCGTAATGCAGAAGCTTGTAATACGATGCGAGAGGAAGTGGCAGTGTTACAACGCTTGTGAGCGAATTGGATACGTCGCGCTGAAGCTTGTGTGCAAGGAAATACGTCGAACATCTTCTATGAAAATCAGCACTTCTCAAAAGGAGGTTCTTTGCAATGTTGAGGTAAGTCAGATTTTAAAAACAAGGTGTAACTTTGCGTGCAGCTTAAGTTTCCCAAGATTTGACTACGAGGAAATACAGTGGTAAGTTTTCCTGTGATTTTCAGGAAAACATGTCAATCTGGCATAAACATGAAATGTTATGACGAGCACTTTTTTAAGTTTAAATGAAAGATATATTTTTTAAATCCCCCCAAAAAATTTGTTCGACAAAAATTTTGGCGTTTTTAGTTTGTCCCCCAGCCCAAATACGTCGATTTGGCGACATTATGGTTGGTGACAACCAGCAAGCTGGGAGGGTTTGGTAATAAGATTTGAAATGAAAGTATCTTATTGTCCGACAAAATTCCTGAGCAGTTTTTGCAGTCCGACGCCCCGAAGATGTCTATTTAACAACAACATGGTTGGTGATAACCAGCAATCTAGTTTTGATTTTTTTCTCTTATAATTGAAATGTATAACACAATAATATACTTGTCCGCCAAAAAAATTGGAAAATTTGCCTTAAAA